TTTTCTTAACTTTAATTTTGCACGTAACTTTTTACTTAGAAAACAAAACACGTTTGTTTTGCTATCACGTTACACCTGATCCTGAAATTCGATTGGTCGTTATTACAAGGGGTGGGGTGGAAAAAATTTTGTGGGACAGCTACCTAAAATAATCAGAGTTCCGTAAAGTTGGAAAATTATGAATAATCATGACTGCGCCTTCAGTTATAACGCCTGAGACTTTTTGGGAAAGGTTTACATCCAAACAAGTTACTTGCAAACGTATGTACCTCATTTTCTTTTATAGACAATAATAAAGGATTTAATTTAATATATTTTTATAAACCTGTGATCCTAACATAAAAATTTGTTTTTTAATGATAATGAAAGCCGATCCAACCGGTTGAGATGCAAAAAAAATTGGGCGAAAAAGAACACATGATATACAACCTACGAAATTCTAGGAGGGAAGATCGCACATGCTTCATGACAGACAGTCAAGCATTCACAGGATTATATCCAATCGATCAGATTATAAGGTTTCGTATATATTTTTGATAGATAAGTTATATTGTATTTAAAATCCATGATTCTGCAGGATTATTTAAGTCGCCTATTTTCCGATAAATTGGTTTCCTACTTCGAGTATATGAATGCTAAGATCATTTGTGCAAGAATGACTATGCAAAATTAAATTGCTAAAATGGCAATAAACGGATGCGTCTATTTTATGAATAAGTTTGTTTGATTTACCATCCAAATTTGGGAATTTTTATGTTCGCTACAATGTTGACATTTTTATGCGTATAACAGTTTTAACTTAATGCATTATTTGATCAAAACTCAAACATATTGATACATTGATGTGTTTATATAGCATACATAATGGATTCTTCATGAATTTATGATTGATAATCTCATCCAAATTTGCTATCGCTATACGTACCGATACGTGTTTTCTATTATCGATGTTAATCATCCTTGTTTGTGGTACATATCGATATGACAAAAATGCTACAAGTGCTACGCTATACGTATAAATATTGATCCAATGTATTCAATGTTTGGGAGAAATCTCGTAATTTTGTATATCCAATTTGAATAAAAGTGATAAAAACGGCTTATCTAAGTTTCTTTTCATATCTTGGTTATTCTGACATGGATTTCTTTTTCTTCGGCCATGTTAATATATGGAAATTCCATTTTCGCAAAATTGGGGGGTGTGGTAAAATAGATTTTCCTTTCTAATATTCGTGAAACATATTCCAAAGTAACTTTACTGCGGTAATCGTTTTCATTAATCTCAGATCAAATCTATGTCTATACTTTGGCAGGTTAACTTGTGGTTTAAATTTGTTCATGTTGTCTACTTCAACTGTTGTTAATGGCTTACTCTTCATTATTTCGACTTAATAGAAATAATCATAGAAAATGTAAATATTCAAGTTTTTACTGAAGTACATCAAACCAAATTAAACATGCTTTTGGTAATAGCCTCCACAGCCATCAAAAAAGCCTTACCGAATACCAATTTTTACAAGCCTGTAACATGTTAATTCTGTTAATTCCTAGTACCTGATCGTTCTTAACTGGATCGACAATCATCATTGTTTGTTCTTCTGTTTATAGCCATGCTTTTAACGAGCTTTCAGTTATTCGCAAAGATCCTCGTATTAAAATGTTGAAAATAACCGAGAACAATTTTAGAGATTAACGTTAATGAATTTTAGAATTTATTTAATTAAGCAAGATAAAAGGATTTTTTTCTTTATACAAAGCTTTCCTTGCATGTTGTTTATTTATATAAGTTAAATAAAAGAAAATGGCAATGGAAAATACTCCTTTACGTATAAAAATCAAACCTTCAAGCTACACCTATAAATCTATTAAAACTCCTCCATTGTCATCCCCAATATCTACTTTCTTTCGAACAAATAGAAAAAATTATGTTTTGATTTTTTTTCTAACGGTTTATACGTCAATTTTAATAATCGGTCTCGGAATTTACGTAGTGCTTTACAATCAAAA